CAACATTCGTTCCGTTTGGCTAAGGCTGGGTATTCTGAGAACGATATCATCAGCAAATCAAACGTGTTTCAACTTTCGACCTTCGATTTTCACTCCCATATCGTCCCATTCTAATGTTCGCTTGAGGTTTTGGAGGGGTGGCAGTGATTAATTTTGGCAGAATCGTATCGCCTTGTCGAACCCCCCTTCTTAGGTCAGTGGTGATATTGCTGTAGAATGGAGGTATTCTGACCCTGAAATCATTGCAAAGCTGACAGCGCGAGTGATGAGCCGAACAAGGTTATTTATGAGAACTGGCGGCAGCTTCTTCAGGTGTTCTGGTCTAATCCTGTCTGAAGCGGGTGTTGTTCTGCTCTTCACCGGCGATATAGCATGTCGGATTTCGGAAGGGAGGACCGATGGAATGACATATTCATCCTTTTTTGATTTATATGACGGTAAGAGGGCATGGCTAGTGAGGAGGCCTGCGTAGTATTGGTTTATGATTTTCTCCATAGCCTATCTGGAAGCTGTAAGTGTCCCATCAGGGCATCGGAATGCAATTATCATGGTCTTATAATTGGCTGGTCCTCGCTGAGCTTTGCGAATGCTCTTCCCTGCTTCTGCAGCTTTTGCGATCACTGATACTCGTCTCTGTTAAGTTCTTCTCTTATCGCTTCTCTGCAGCGTTTCGCAAGATGAGACGTAAGGTTTCGGTTGCCTGTAGCTCGCGCGATTCCACGTTGACGTATCAGCTCGAGTGTCTGCGGAGACAAGCATCTCTTCGTGACCTTAGGACTCTCGGCTTTCATAGCGCTAACGCGAAGATATTCAACAAACCGGTCTTATTCTTCGACGATGTTGTCGACAACGGTATCTTCTTAGGAGCCGGCTTATGATTTGAATAGATCCCAGTTTATGGTAGTTCTGGGACTTCGTTGTTTGAATTTAGCTGCTTGCTCTCCTTCTCGCAAAAGCGGGACGTTGCGCCAAGGAGGCGGTGGTCTGGTTCCGTGTGGAACTTAGAAATGACAGCGATATAGGTCAGGCAAAACCTTCGATTTATTGAGATGTGGTTTATTTCGTTATAGCACTCTCCATTTCGAACTCCCACGTCCATCGTTGAGAGTGAAACTTTTGCAATTGTGAGCTACCATGGATGGTTTAGGACCTCATGATAAACTCAGATAGCCTCTCACTTTGCTCTTTCCATTCTGGTTCGTGGGTCCCAATGTGAAGATCTTCAGACGCCCTTCTAGGTCGAATTTTTGCTTTAAAATCTCCGACAATAACCTTGAAAAATGTATGATCTTCTCTGAAGAATTTTGCGAGATCGATATAGAACTCTTCGACTTCGTCTTGATCATAGCTTAATGTTGGTGCGAAAGCAACGAAAAGGTCAAAGCCGGCATTGGACCACATCGCTTCAGCAGTAATCGCCCGATACGGGTTGTTAGTTGCTCAAACGAATCGATGATCACAGCCAAATTCGATTTGACGAGGACTCCAACGCCACCGCCACCTCTGCTATCGCATGTTCCAAAAAACCAGTTCTTCTCTGGTTTCATAAACAGCGTGAAAAGGATGGCGTCTTCTCGTCTCCGCCAGGTCAATGACGTCTTGCCTTATCCATCTTGGTTGAATCGATAGATCATCTACAGCGGATTCGTGAGCAAGGATTCTTGCACTGTAGGTACGGATCGTCATTTAAGTCCGTTTTGATCCATGCAGCGTAGTTTGGGCCCTGTGATTTTGGCGGCCTCTCTGTACTCGTCCTACCTAACGCTGCCGCACCAGGGGCTCTTTCGGGGTTAGAAAAATGAGGACCATATTTGCTATTGTTTTAGCAATTTGATACTCCACCGATGGCTTGCCAGGCTATAAATGTAAAGGGTAGGTACTCACGCTTATCATGCCAGTCTCTCTCGGAGGAGCAGATGGGGTACCTCATCCCCAGAATCCACCTGCGTCTCTGGAAAGCATAGAATCGCCTTTGATCCACGTTTATTTTCCTATCCACTAGGTGGGCACGCGCCGCGTGCCCTCGCGACCTAAACGGACAAGTAAGGAGGGAGATCCGTGGTCTAATAAAATATACAATGGAAATTGCGAAACAAATCTCCAACTTCCATAATTTCACGTTCTTGGCTGCATATGTTATGGTTCGCTACTTTATGTTTGTACTGCGTTTTTGCACTTACAAATGATCTTTGATTTGTACAACATTTTCGCACTCCTTGATTACAAAATTCCCGTAAAGCTAAAAGCTTAAAGAATAAGGCTGTCGGTGATAATCAACCCCTAAGCGATGCACCAATGTCTTCACTGATTTTAACTTTCCTTGGGGTGACTGAATGCATACGTGGTTTTACAATGACTCAAGGTGGTCTCCGCTGTATCGAATCATTGCTGCTTATCCTCCCAGACATGTATGGAACCAGTCTGGTGCGATGACTCCCACACCAGAGACTTTGAGTCTGAGCGACGAATTTCTTCATTTCCAGTCTTTTAACTTTATCAACCCTTTTGATCGATAGTCTCTTGGTTAACTTTTTGAGGACCACCATCTATAGACAGGCGGCGTCGCGCCGTATCTTGGTAGTCATGGAGGGCGTCTTCTGCGGCTCTGTGCTAGAATAGCGCGCTTACTGCGTCTCGTTTTCCCACGGGCGCTTTCAGTATAACGACGCAAGTCTCCGTCGTTCCAGTAGCTGATAGAGACCGTGAGAAAATTAGATTGAAGAAAAAGCAGAGGAGAGTCCCTTTGGATATGGGCAATCAGTTCGTGGGAAGCAGCTGGAGGTTGTATTTCACAGAAAATCTCAAGTTTATGCAAAAAAATTATGAAACAAAGCTTGCTGGCAAAAAATGATTTTGCAAATTGCAATAAAACAATTTTTTCGGTCTATCGCAGCTATGACCAATACCTAATCTTTGTCATTTAACGAGCACAACTTACTCCTTTTAGTCCACTATGCTCTCCAAATAATTTCTTGCACCTCTTCTGGTTCTCACCTCTACGAATCACTTCAGTGAGTCCACGTGCAGGTGGCCTTGGAAGGATCAACAGTACATGAGATACTCCGAGTCTGTCTTACCTAAGTCGGAGGGATGGATGGCGCGGTGAACCATGAGCGCGTGATCGAATCATAGACATTGTGCGACGCAGAGCACTTAAGCAATACGCCGCATGCTCCCCTCCTATTGTAAAGTGGGTAAATGGGCGTTGATTTCACTCATAAGATATTTGTCGTTATCATTACCACTGTCGTTATCATAGTAATTGCCGTTATCGTAACCGTTATCATTGTCATCATCGTTATCACAATCATTACCATCATCTTATCATTATCGTTTTTTACTATCATTATCGTAATTTTCTAGGGACATAGTTTTTTCGTTGAAACATAAGAAATGTAGATGGAATATAGAAGATTTAGATGTTCTCTCTACTACAATTATCACTGTGGAAGCTTTTCCAATGAAATTCTGTAATTTCATGTCGATAACGCTTCCTCAGAAACTGAGTTCGTCTTCTCGAATTCATCATGCTGTCTGCATCTGTCTTCCCAAGAGATGTACCGACTTTGTCACTGAGCACGGCGCTGACACTACTGCTGCTGAACGAGATGAGACATCATTTACCGTGGAGCGAAACGTCCCACATGGTCTTGAAGGATAAAGGCACATGATGAGAAGAGCTTAATAAACGGCGAAATCCTGCTCTATTTAGGAATGTTGCTGTGTAGCACGTGTCATGGAGAACTCGTGAATTTCACTGCGCCACTTCATTCCATTGACATTCCAAACTTGCAGTAATACACGCGGCCAGCAATCTCACTATACTCGACCATGTTGACCAACAAGCAAGGTGCTGATTTGATACCCTGCACAACACCCTCTTGCAGTCAATCAGAGGACACCTAACGGAACCCCATCGTTCGACTATTTGAAAGATTACAAAGAGGGTCGTTTAAACAACGTTATACGGCATTTGCACTTTCTTACTTTGATACTTAGACGGCTCGTACTTACTGGTAGTTCGAGCGTCGACACCGTTTTCGTTCGGAGTGTTATTAGTCATTCAAAAGCTTTGATCTCTGGCTAGAACCGTACATGTGTGGTTTCCAAAAGCACCCTTTTACACACTGTAGCATTCAAAATAAAATTACATTTCACACCCTCCGCGCTTTTTCATTTTCCAGCACGTATAGCCCGCGGAAAGCGGAAAAAAGCGTATAAAGCTATAGAGAAATTCTCGTAGTATCTAAGTCAATTGCTTTATATGGAGTTTATTTCGCCCTGCTCACCCAGCCTCTGGGTTGGCCGGTAAACAAGCTTACCAAATATGTAAGCTCTTATTTCCCTGATACACTGCAGTGAAGGGTCTTTCTTGAAGATAAGCACAGCATGAAAACCATCAAAATTCACGCTATGGAATGGTTGCTAAAAGTTTAGAGAAAAGCTCTGTCACGCGAGGTGTTAGACACAAATTTTTTTTCTGCAATCGAAATTCCTTCATTAGACAGCCTCATGCGGTGGTATGATGTAATAATATGCCCAATGATGTAGAGCGCTGGGCAAAAACATTTGCGTCAGCCGGGAATCGAACGCAGACCTCACTCTTTCAGAGAGCGTGTGCTGAACCGTTGCACCACCGACGCTCGTTTTGCACAGCACTCTTTTTACGCTACAACGTTATGCGTCAACAGCCAACCGTCGACGGCCTGGCGGGGCAGCCGCTATCGGCATTGAACCCACTTGTGTTGACAGATATCGGATATCAATTTTCAATCGAAATTCATCTATTTGACCTCCTTCTGCGGCCAGTACTTTTTGCTCAGTGCTCCACATTATCCTCAAGAGGCGGTCAATTAAATGTAATCCGATTGAATATTGATACCCCACTATCTGTCAATATAAGTGAGTTCAATGGCGATAGCGGTTACCCGCCAGACCGTCGACGGTTGGCTGTTGACAGATAACGCGATGTAGCTAAGAAAGAGTGCTGTGCAAAATGAGCGTTGGTGCTGCAACGGCTCAGCATAAGCCCCCAGAAAGAGTGAGATCTGGGTTCGAATCCTGGCTGACGCAAATGTTCTTGCACAGCGCTCCACATTACTGGATTTCTTCTTATCCTTCAGAGTTATCAAAACAGGCTTTTCAAATGGCAGGAAGATCTTCGAATTCTTGGAGACCTGTGCTTCCGAAAGACTAGTAGCAGTCTAAGGAAGGAGTTTTTCCCAGCAAAATATATGGGAGATAAGAAAAAAGCACGTGGTCGTATAAAAAAATAATTTTATTTTGGATATTACGACGTTATTGAAGGATGTTTTAACAAGCCAGTCACTTACGGCTCTAGTCAGAGATTTCAGCTTTCGATTCACTGCTAAAAACTGCTATAAAGAATTCTTGTCCACCGAATGAGATCGAATATTCATTCATCATCCTTCAAAGTATAAGTACCAACTTTTGAACGAAAAGGTGAGTACGCAATTTGGGGTCCGCTTTCCAGCAGGTGGCTTTTCGAGAGTTCTCATTGCACCCATACTGCTCTCGTTCTCCTGTCTACTTGTTCCTTCATGTTGTTCTACTTGTTCGCTGAACGTCCAGGGCACACGTACGAAGTGGTCTTTGTAATTAGGTACAAGTAAATAGTTAGTCAAAGAAGCCCACGACAACAAAGAAGAAGGTTCTATACGTGGGATAGCCGCTGCTTGTTTAGGTGGTGGGTCAGTCTGCGTGATTGAGCGGAATGTCTACAAATAGAACATTATGCACTCAATGATGTACAGTGGAATTAAACATGCATAAAAGGGAAGCAGCAGTTGTCCAGGGAGAACGACTGTCATAAGTTCACCTTTCTTGATTGACTTCGCACTCTATCCCGCACAAGCCTCTTTACCATAAAACCGTAGTTGAGTGCCTTATCGGCGAAAAGTTCGTCCTTCGAGAAAGTCAAAGAGCAGACCATCCCATCATTTGCTAATAGGCTCTTATGTTTCACTTACGGACTCGGGACCACACTGTATTACACCTTTTTTCGAACAACTCCGTATCCTTATTGTATTTTGTCCTCAGCAAAAAAAGTCTTACTACTCTCTCCGACTTCAAGAAAAGCGTGATCTATCTGTGGAAGTGCAACTGCATTGGTATGTCGTTGGATGAGTTGTGTAAACAGCCTAAAACAATTCAGCAAGATGGACGACTGATTGTGCATTTTCTAGTACAAGAATGTTGCCGTCAAAAAAGGATTCTTTTTCTATTCAATTCCTTTTATTCAACATGTTTTTTAATGATTAGTAGTTCTGTCTATAAAAATACTGAGAGGTGAACAGTGTTTGAACAGGTAAACTCATTAATTACGAAGCAGCTTCAAATGTCGCGATTGTCCATGTTTGAAACAAAGCCATCTTCGCATATCGGTTTCTTCTGTAGTAAGCCAAATACCTTACTTTGGAGGTTAATATTACTACATTTCTTATGCACATAATAGGAAATCGCGGGCGAGGTAACACAATGGTTGATGATTTGTAAAATAAAATAATAGAACGGTGTCCTCTGAATCCTGATGTTACTTCATATGAACTATCGCAATCAATAGTATCTTCTCGGCACATCTTGTAGGAATCCTTTCCAAGATTAAATAATTTTTGTTAACTTCCGCGATGTTCTATGATTCACAGTTTTCCGTTCATGAGCCAAGAAAATCAATAATTTTTTCCGTTTTTTTTTTGCTAGACTATAAACAACCTAAACTTTTTCCACTTCTGAAAGGGCGAAGTTGGCCAAAAAGTCAGTCGTTCAGATAAGTTGTACGTAACAATCTCGTGTTTTTGCTCCTCATGAAAACGAAACTGCAAGTTATCGCAATAAATTTACATCACGCCATTATAAACCTGGAGGAAACTGATTTATATACACCGAGCGTATGATTAAATTGAAGAAAAAAAGTTTTCTTGCCGAATACAACCCAAAGATTTGATTTTCCATCTTTGGGAAAGTGATTCAGCGTTGTCTAGGTAGCTTAAGGCTCTCATTCTTGGGATCTCCCCGTTTCACCACACTCAGAAGCAACAGCTTCACTCTTTTTTGTTGCTCATCTCCTTCATACACTCACTTATAGCAAATCCGGGTATGTCACATTTTCAATATTGTGGCTGCCGTAAAAGCCATCTTGATTCGCACTCGTTTCTAACTTTTCTGTTGCAAGTTATAGGTGTTTTAGAAATTCACACTTTCTGCTTGCCATTATCTCTCTGCTGATATGCACGCATCCGGATCTGTGCAATAATTATGCTGAACTCTTCACGAATTTTGAGAAATTTTTATGTAGCTCTCATGGGTTATGACAGAATTTCTCTTTTTTTCTGGAATCGATCGCTTATCCTATCGAAATAACAATAGTGAGGAACTGGAAAATATATAAGAGAATTCCGCGAGTGCATGAAGAACAGAAAACACCCGAAGAAACTAGCGAGATGCGTCAAAAATTGAATAGCAGCGCGAAAAATATTACAGAAGGCGTGGGATCAATTGCTAGGGGCCCAGATCGGAAGATATTGGTCTTGAATGAGATAAAAAATTTGTTGCCAGACATCATTTCTTACAGGGTTAACGATATTTCGCTATATTCATAATGTGAGTAAATTCAGTGATGAGCTTGTCTGCAGATGGAGCTGTTCGCTTGATGGCCACTATTTCGATTTGACATTACTCGGTTTTCTGCACTTAACCTTAAAAAGGTCTTTCTTGTCAGCGATTTCGTTACCAGGATACACAAGGACTGAAAATCTCTGTGACTAAAATGGTTTCGTCGAGAAAGTGAAAACTCTACACATGAAAGCCGATGTTCGAGTGTTTTCTGATGGATTGTTTCCCTAGTAATTCCCAAAACCAACTATCGTTTGAGCAGTGAGCTAACTACTCCACCGGGAGATATGATATTCTACTTTTGTATAACACACTTTGGGAGACCTTCTAGATATAAATCTCGCTCTACAATCGTCAAGATTTGAGATCTCGCATGACCATTAGGCAAAGCAAGTCTAGTGTGGAATATTATTTGATTTTTGCTGCTGTAAAGCAATACAATTGGCTTCATAAAAATTAAGTGTAATAGTGAAGTCGGCGAGAAAACTTACAAATGATTATTAGAGGTCAACGAAAAATATCTGCCTAACAATAAATGCTTTAGAACAAGCACAGACACACACCATTAATGACGGGGTAAACAAAATGAACAAAGAGACTTCTTGGGAGATTGTTCCGAAACCGCGTCCTGCTTATTCCTTGGCCAACCATCAGCAAGTATGTGCAAAGCAAGCAAAAGCTGCGCAAGATAACAAATGAAACTAACGTTTCAAAGTTCAGCTATGGAAGGATATCGCGAAAACGGATTCTTCGCGCGAGGCAAGTGCTATCAGTTTGTTGCATTTCGTCAATAGATTGATTTTCCCTTTAGCGACTTTGCATAGTCTCTATGATGATCTAACTCTTTGATATAGCGCCAGATCTTTCAAAAATCTGATAAGACCTGCTACTCAAAAGCATTTATAACGATGCTGAGCATTGAATGGAATATTCAATTACTGCAGAAACCGAAATACCAGTCAGCCAGAAAGCACATTGCAGGCTAATCATTCCACTAAATATGGTTGACACTGCTCGAACTTCCTTACTTAGTGAGCCAGGTGTTCAAAGCCACTGCTTTTCTATCAGTTGAGGAAAAGTTGGTAAAAGTGTTCGTAGCAAGCGACGCGACGCACGCCTTAGCCAATCTTTGATCACCGCTTTGAGTCAAATATCTGTTTCTCTCTATGTGAATGAGCGCAGAAACTTCGAATATTGTCTTATCGCCAGCATAATATGTGAGTCTGAATGATCTTACTTTTTGTTTCCGTGTCATCCAAGTTTTCCCGAGGAAGAGATCAAGATAGAATAGTTAATGAGTCGAAAAATTAGACAAAGAGGCAATGTCTCGTTTTTCTTGTTTTTTTTTTTTCAAGATTCAGCTATCTACTTTCTGTTCCAGTTACCTTGAGGTTCAGTCTTGCATCTCGTTTATGTGCATAATCAAGCGCATCTAAAACGAGGAGATATTTTTCTTTGTCAAGGACGCACTGACATTTAACAGGAGGCAAGCAAACTGAGCAGTACGACAAACTGCAGATCCCCGTTCTAGTACATAAACGCAGGATGACCCTTCTCATTATCTGCAATACGATTATGAGAATTTTATTATTTTGAAAGCCGAACTAATACGACAGGGTAGAATCGGTGTGACTACTGCGCACACTTCGACTGAATGCTGTAAAGCGAGGTTCTGTCCGATTCCTTATTGACGTGGCAGTATATCGGTAGTAAGAAAGAATAAATCACGAGATAACACATTCGTTGTCTCCGATTTGTCAATGAATTCAAGTTATGCTGCTATGTGAAGAGGCAAAGTTGAACTAATGTCTCTTTTTTTTCGATTATTCTTCTGAATCTTCTGTCTAGTAGCAAACTGTCACCAACATCTTTCTGCCTAATTCCCCACTACCAAATTTAGACACCATAAGTTGCAATGAGAAAAGAAGCCTCTCAAAAAGCTATGGTAGAAGAAAAAAGGAGTAAAAATAAAATAATAAGGAAGAAAGGATGAGTTTTGATGCGTGCGTTCCACTGCTGGAAAATTCTTCTGAGGCTAACTCACTCAAATTTCCATCAAGCATTGGCACACTGATATGATGTAGTTTTGGGTCTCTGATTATATTCAAAGGGCCAATTCCACGAATAACACCAGTAATAAGTTTTGTCTGTAATTATAGCGAGTAATTTTGCATCTTCGCGCATGAATGATTTCCATCCTCTGCTAAGAACGCACTACTATCTGAAGCCTTCAGAGTTAATTGATGATATAGCCTCAGAAGTAGCTGATTTGAAAATAGAAATTATTATTCTGATCCTCTCTTACATTTAACACATATCCTGAACGTCCTACCAGTATCATTTATTCAATGCTTAACATTTCATACAATCGTCAAAGACGACAATCTGCCCATATATAAACAACATTGCAACAATTTTCTCTCACGTAGCTCAGTTACACG